ACCATATGTATATATACCATATACATACATGTGACGGCGAATGCGCAACACATACACGCTCCCAGAAATGTATATACTTATTATATCATTCCTGTCCGACTCGTAGTGAACAGTCAGGAGTTATACTTAGTAGCACATAAATCGACAATATCGCTTAGGAAAGTAGTCAAAGGCCACGATTCAATACACACAGGTAGTGATATTAAACATCCTTAATCAATATATACGTGACGTGACGATAGGGTACTTCATGATAGCAGCTACACAATGAATATTGCACCTGAGAAATGCGATATATATATGTGAGCACTTGTATATTGATTCTTCAAGTGAGAATCCAGACTCTCAATGTATATTTATATTGCTATGTATGTGCGTACGCATATATGTGGTTATGAATGCACAGTGCTAGAAACGGGCCGCACTAACATACGTCAATATGGATAGTATAACACGATAGTATGGACAGCATGCCGTGATAGAATGTACAGTATGGATATTATGACATGATAGTATCGATAGTATGGAAATTGAATGTATTGAATTATACATGTGCTTTTTCTACAATAAATAGGCGTGTTAGGTCTTTTGGGTGTATGCAATAGACCTGAAAACACAATGTTTCGTATTTACATACAAGTTCCCAGAGACTATGTAGCATGTACCAGTGCACACCGGTGAATTATACTAGCAACTATAAATAGAACTTGCAGCCAAATACACACGCGCAAAAGTGTTATTTCTATAAAAAAAGTGATTACATACTGTGTATTTTACAACTGTATTTATTTTATCTTTCCCTTGTATTACAATATATTGTCGATTGAATGCAACGCCATATACGCATACGTATGTATGTGTATGCAACTAATATAGTATAAGACTGGAACATATACCGTATATACATGTATATGTGTAGTATACAACATATACGAGACAATCACATACACTTATACATACATACATATATACAAGTATATATGCATCACAGCTATACAACGTGAGGGTGTGTGTTTGAGGTGATACTGCACATAATTTATCAGACTGAATACTATACCTATTCAGTACTTGTAATTATACACACACACACACACACACACACACAC